ACCGTTTAAGGTACTTTCACCCTATTTGAGCTTAAATAAATGTCTTCGGTTTTACTCGTCTAAACATGCTGGAAAAATTGAAGGTCAGTGTTAATAACAGCTATAAACTGATTTTTTAATTGTAAATTTTCTTCATAGAAAAGCAATCTGAAATTGTTCCTTCATTTATGGAGTTTGAAGGAGTTTGGGCTGACGATATGAAACGAAATTTCCTTCAACATATGAAAGTGATTGAAAATTTCATTACACCACAAGATGAATCTGATTTACTGATTGAAATCGAACCATATTTAAAACGGATGAGATATGAACGTGATCATTGGGATGATGCGATTCAAGGGTTTCGTGAGACTGAGAGGAAATCTTGGTATCCTCAGAATAAATTAATTATCAATAAAATAATTGAAACAGCTTTCCCAGACTCTTCTCATACACTTCCCCACATTCATGTTTTAGATTTAGAAGCAACAGGTGATAAATTTAATCAAATTTTTAATGAAAGAACATAATGAAATTTAATTTAATTATCTTCAAGGTTTCATCAAGCCACACGTCGACTCAGTCAGATATTGTGGAACGACTATAAGTGGAATATCACTGCTATCTGATTCTGTAATGAAATTAGTTCAAACATCAGAAGATCATTCAACATCTGACGACTATCGTAATCAGCCGAAAACATCTGAAAATAAAAATGAAAATTTGTGTTCGGTGAAAGTATTGCTGAAAAGACATTCTTTGTATATCATGTCACAGACAGCTCGCTACAATTTCACTCATGAAATTCTAAAAAATGAGGAGAGTTTCATACATCAAAAGAAGATCGAAAAAAATCGAAGGATTTCAATCATATGTAGAAATGAACCTTAGAAATTAATAAATAAATATTAACACAATTTGTCATAGTTCTGTCATAGGCTGTTCATATGAGTAAATGATAATTACCTAGCAAGAAAATTTAATTAAAGGATAGTTAAACATCACACGCCGCTCTGTTTTAGTCTTTATTTGCACATGTTCATTTAATTTGTAAACTTTTATTTATATTTATTCAAATGGTTCTTTTAAAGATATCTCAATTCTTGTAGATGTGATGAGAGAATTTTTTATTTAATTGAGAATTCAATGATCATTTAAATATCGCACAGTATCAAGTCACATCTCGTAATTGAAAGATGAATACCGCTTGGATCTTAATTTTTACTTTTGCGCTAATGTTTCTTCCATCTGCAACGTGTAAATTTTTTTTATTTTCCTTTTAAATTCGCAATTAAAATGATATTTGAAATCATATTTTTAGTTATTTTATTGAACAGGTTCAGTTTCCAACAAGTTTGTCAATTATTTACCTAATTTATCAGATGCTAATTTTTTTTTAAATTTAATTACATATTTTTTAATATTTGTTAATGTATCGTATATTGTTTTTCAAAATAGCCCAGGGTTCATTTGGAGGCTGCATTTATGAAGGAAGAGAATATTATTTTGATGAATACATATACTCCCGACATATGAACGGAAATTGTGTAGGCTTTTATTGTATGGATGGAACAATTGGCCCTGGCAGCTCAAGAAAATGTTGGCATTATATTCCTGACGATTGTGAAGAAATTTTTACTGGAAATGTTTGCTGTCCTGAATTAAGATGCAATTCAACAACGGAAGCTGGTGAAGGTGTGTAAATCAAAACCTTGCTGATATACTTAAATATGAA